TGTAACCGTAATTATCTTAATTCTGTTGAAAAATAAAACAAGCTATAACTCGGAAACAAGGTCATATCGGACATATGTTTATATGATTTTTTTCTCTTATTTTTGTGTCCTGAATCTCTCATTGCAATACTTCCCACTTTTTAGAATACACCCTGTATAAATGGAATATTATGAATACTATACATTAATACTTATATTTATTATATATTATTATGAATCAATAATACTGTAATAAATTTTTATATATTATATCTTAGTGTATATTTTTTAAAACTGAGATATAATGGCAATATGAGCCCAGCGTAGTATTAGGAGCGCATAGAAGTTTATTGTAAAAACAACTTAATGTAACATATAAAAACGTAGAGCGCACGTTCCGGCTAATCTTTTAGCCATCTTCAGCGTACGAGTTAAATAAATATAAAACAACATAATAAAAATTAATCGAACGATAAACGTATCGCAAACTATTATTCAAAGAACCGCAATGTCACAAATCGTACAACGGAGGTCCCTCACATCACGATGTATCTTCAAACGCATCGCTGCTATCGCTAGGATGACCAACTCCTCGATTACAGGATCGATAGTTAAAAAATCCCAACACTTTACAAGCATGATGGTATGATGCATTTCCACTAATGCCTGTAAATAATCGGAGCGGTTTTTGACGCGATGATGTGAGAGAACGCGCAAATAAACAATGTTGCAAGATAACTTACACGTAAGAGAACATTCGGAGCTTATTGCCCGGACTGAATATCAGATAATGTAATTGCACTCGACACACAGGCTCTCAACGGCCACTGACACAATTAACTTGAAACCACAGAGGTGTCGTGGAAAAATTACTGTTATCAAACGGATAAAAACATGTGACGCAAACAATCTTTTTAAAGGTTAACAAGTACGGTCGAAAAATAATAATATACATATGAAACAAACGAGTGTACATAATTAAAAATGAGACAATAAATACAAACAATATAAAAATGATGTAAAAATGAATATAAATACAAAATAAGGTAAATATGCATAAAGTGGGCAACCTCACGGATGACCTTGACCTTAACATATGTTGTCAAGGTCATCGTCCTGAGTGACCTTGACCTTGAAAAAAGTGGCGGTCACGATCCGTTCAAAAGTTATTAACAAAGAAAGATTAT